TTTGAATTACTCTAGGAGAAAAGCTGTGAAAGAAAGGAAGATTAACATCAGAAAGTTATAAAGTGGGCCAAACCATGATGAGTCTTTGCTGTCAAGCGCTCACTGAATTTGTTTTGTTATTCATTGTGGTCTGAAAATTACAACCATGAAAAATGGCTTGAAGCTGATCCAATATTTTGAATGTAATTTACAAAACTACAATTCATCAATCATGTTCTCCTCTCAATCACAACTGAGAATTTTAACCCCTCTTTTTGTAGGACAGACATTTATAAAATAACCCGGGGCACTCAATGATTGCTTCTATTAGCTGATTTAAGATTAAAATGTTATCTTGTTAAAGCAAACAGCGATGTTCTAGTAAACATATCCATCAACCATTTTTGTTGTGAATAAGAAACAGTTCCACTTGAATCCCCCACACCAAACATTTATTATATTGTGACAAGCCAAAGAGGGTTGCACTTTGCAGTTTTTACTACTACTTTAAATCCATCTACACATTTGTTTTAGTTTGTACAATTATTTATGGCTGTGTATACAATCTGCATGCATGGCTGGATTAATATGGCGTAACAGCAGCAAACTCTGTGTATGGTATGTATCACCTTTTAACCTAAATACTAAACAAGCTCATGTGATATTCAAGCCCACTGTGACCTTGACCTCCCCTTGACATGTTTACTATCTGCTGCTGTTATAGCCATCTGGTTCCATTAGCTGGACATTTTAAATCTTTTCAGGACATTGACAACTCTTACATAAATTACTCAAACGGGGCTTCTCGCTATATTTATACTTTTTGTTTTTTCCAGCATTCTCCACATTCCACTATCCTAGTCTGAGCACCTCACAAGTGACATCCCTCCGCATCTCCAGCAAAGGTATGCTTGAGAGGAGAAATAAGCAGAAAACAGTATGGAGTGCTCTGAGAGGATGATAAGAAGCAGAGATATCTATTGTACGGTAACATGTGAAATATTGTGCAATCACTTCCCTTAAGTATTGTGCAACGTTAAAGTTCTGCACTTCCCTTAATCCAGTGTTTCTCAAAGTGGGGGGCGTGTTTTTTTTAAACAGAATTGTTATGACGTTGGCATGACTGGCGGAAGTTACACTTAGAAACCTTAGAAACCTATGAGGGCGCTGTAGGACACAGGTTTGTAATGTACATTTTGAGGATGGAAGGTCAATAAGTGGCGTCAGGGGGCCCCCTAAGCACCCCCAAGAAATGTATGTCTTTTTTATTTTTATGTGTGAAATTCATAATTTGAAAAATGATTGATTCGAAAATAATATGCTACAGTACAAGTACTTCTGGGTCTCTGTGTTTCATTCAAGCTCGGCTCTGTGTGTGTGTGGAACGGGCCATTTTGTGTGCGTGCACGAGCGAGAGAGAGAGAGAGAGAGAGAGTGTGCACCGGTACCGGAGATTGTTGCTGTTAGCATCTGGTGCTAGCTACGCTA